GGAAGGAAGGAAGGAAGGAAGGAAGGAAGGAAGGAAGGAAGGACGGACGGACCCTCGTTTGAAAACAGAGTTTGCCACCAATATTTTTCTAAAGCACTTAAACAAAAAATAATTTCCCCCCAGGCTCACACAGTTGAGCTTCCTTCTCATCAGCTCTGTAGCGTAAAGAGATTCTACAAAAGGACGGGACAGGAAGTGGAGTTTCCAGAAAGCCGTTACCTGATTGCTTCTGCCTTTTTGGATGCATTCGGCTTTCCTCTCTGCTGGAGCTTCCCAAAGTATCTGCAAAGGACAATTATTTCTCTTAATCACCCTCTGAGCAATAGCATTTGAAGGCTGGCCCCACCCGGTCTCAAAAACCTTGGGTTGTGTTGCTGGTGATGATGGGGAGGACGGCTGGGGAAAGCTGATTTAGTGCCTGGGCCATAAACCCGCAGGGACCTGCCCTTCCATCTAGGACCACACGATGGGCAGATCCTACTTCCTTAACCAGGAGTTCAACAGGGACCGCGATCATCCCTCACAAGTCTAAATCCACTTGCCTCTCATACATATTGGACTTGATTACAGAGTTAAGCATTTTGTAGGTGTGCACAAGACAGTGAACCGTAAACAAAGGAAATTGGTGGGCTCAGAATGCACTTAAGGCCACCAAAAACAAGCTTAAAGGAGACCAAACCTAGGACGCAGGTTAAATGCTGCTGTCTGGTCCTTAAGGGACGTGGTCATGTTGCAAATGCCACAACAGTCAGAACTAAGCAGAATTTCATTTGCAGAATTGTGGGGGACCAGTGGCCAGAAAGAAGTCATCACAGGCTGGCAAGCAGAAGATCCAGAGTCCAAACCCATTCTTCTACTTACTGCTTCCTCCAGCTCCATGGTGCTGGTGCTTAGGGCAAAGATGGCTTCTCGAGCCCCAACGTAGAGCAGTCCTTTGGGGTCAGCCAGGGTCAGTGTTGTATAATTGGACACTCCTGCCCTCGAGAAACATTTGGTTACTTCTTTCAGTTCTGCAAGGGAAAGGTGGACAACCTTAAGAAGGTGGTACTCTTCCAGCTCCAGTTCCATAGAGTTCTGGGGCAGAAAACCCGTGAGCGGGTTCTAGTTGTCTAGGCAACTTCTTCTGGGTGAGCAGACCTGTTAGGAATCGTCCAGTGCACATCACCATCCTCGTCTGGCTGCTCCAGCTAACAAATAATAATGCCCAGCAAGACAGGACATTTTCAATGGTGGCTCCCATGCTTTAGAAAGTTCTACCTGGAGAAATCTGCCAGCTGCCTTCATTACATTGTTTTATGATCTTTCAGGCACTGGGTGGTTAACAACTTCACATCTGCCTGAGCTTTCTTGACTACCTTCCACCCCAAACTGGTGCCCTCCAAATATGTGGGGATTACAGTTCCCAGTAATCCTAGCTAGCATGGCCATTGATGAGAATTCTGGGATTAGATGTCCCCCCAGGCTGCTAGAGCTTAATTTTTTTTTCATGTTTCCCAATGCCATTTGCAGGAATATTTTTTCATTTATGCTCATGATTAGTTCCTTTGGGTACTGTATATATTTACTAGCTTAAAGCTGGGGATTCACATTTTAAATAGCGATTCTGTGTTTGGTATTGAAGCTAGCAGAGGTGTCTAATCCTTCCCAGTTTTCATGGGCTCTTTCTGGATGACATGGAGATAGGAGATGAAGATGAATATTTTCCAACACACCCCTTTCCACGCCCTCTTCTGTGGCCTTTCTAAAAAAGATAGGCTCCTACCTGAATCTTTTTTTTCACCCCACCAAAGATTCTTGGCTCTTGTTTATAGCACCCCAACACACTCCTTCCACAGGAGAAACCAAATTAATATAATAGATAAGGCTGTCTCCAAATGTCCATATTTCCCAGCAGCAAAGGTAGCCTTGCTCATCCCCACTGTGCTGGTTTCTAGATATTCCTGCAGAAAACAGCACAATGATTTCCACAGCTACACTACTGTGAATTTATTTTTCATTTGGAGGGGCGTCCAGACTAAGCATTTTATTCCCATTCTCAGGAGGGTCCCCATTTGCTTCTTTAAAAATAATACAATACTTTAAAAAAAAATAAAAAACAAGCCACAGAATCTCCCTCAGTGTCTCCAATTTCAGTGGGGAGTGAACTGCCTTTATTCTAACTCTAGAGCTTTTAATTCAAGGCTTGGCAACTTTTAACTTGAAATCAGAAACCTTAAAATGATCACTTGGTCAGTTTTAGAATATAAGCAGCTATATTCGCATGGAGGAATATAAAACAGGCAAAACAGAATGCTATAGAAATGCTCTCTTCATTATTTTAAATGTCACCAGGACTTCAGTTGGGCAGAGATCAGCAGATGTTTGGCCACACTGCTGCAATTCAGTCCTTTTTAAAGGAAGGGGATCCTCCAACTTGAAAAACTTCACAACGGAAATACAATGGATGCGGGCAAGAAGTGCAAATGGGACGGACCTGTAAGGACGATGCCGGTGAGAGGAACCAGTGACTCTCCAGGTAGGAGGATCATGCTGTTGACACAGGTGGATCAAGTGCTTCTCAAGACCAAGAAAAGAGAAGCAAAACACCCATTGAATCGAAAAGGGGGAAAAAAAGAACGTAAACCAAGAGTGCAGATTTCCATACAGGCAGTTGCTGAATTATCTCAGCGACTCTTGAATAAACCAATTCAAATATGTCAAATCGGGCTGCATCCTCAAGTCAGGTTTAGGGGTCTCATGAATAACAGAACTCAGCCCCCCCCTGCACAGGCTCTGATTCCTGCGTACTGCAGCAGGCAGGTTTGCTGGGGCTCTGCAGCTTCGTTCTAGCTTGCAACGAAGAGCTTCACCTAGCTGTGCCGTGCCCGTGAACCTCCTGCCGAAAAGAAGATCCTGGAATGGATATGGGCTTATTACTGTCTGGAGAGCTAAGATTTACTGCTTGGGCTGGCGTGAAGCCTGACGGGCAGCAGCCGAGATGTTCGACTGGTTTTCATGACTCCCATGTGTGGAGCAGGCTCACCCTGCCTAGAAAAAGGGCAAAGATTACCTTGGGTGGTACAGAGCCTTGTCAAAGCATGACAGAGTGGCAAGGAACAGCCATTCTAGTTTTTTGGGGAGTGAGTACTGAGAGATTGGTCAGGCCCACCACGGTACCCATTCTACGAGCTGGCAACCCTCTTGTGGTAGATATTTGGTGAGAAAACCCACAGCGCTCTCACCCAGTGTACCCACCACCCCGTGACAGATATTTCCCGTGCAATGTGTCATCTTGAGCTCTTCTGGATCAGAAACTGTCTAAGGCTTCTTCAGGAAGATGTCCAACTTCTTCTAGACCAGCAATGGATTTCATTTCAGTTCCAAGGGGTTTGCTTTTGCATTTTGCAAGGCCCTGTGACCTCTTCGGATACGGGTTTGGAACTTTCCACTTTTTGAATAAGAAGAAAAGAAAAACAAAGGCTGTTTATGCAACGGAGGCCCAGGGCAAAGACAGGGCTGCCGAGCCAGATCTGGGGAGGGAAAGCCAATCTCAGGAAAAATCTGCTCTTTTCCTTGCCCTTCCCTCCTGGGTCTTAACCATAACTGTCTGCGAGCATACTTTTGCAAAGTTATGGTGTTAACCTGGGCTGTTTTGGTAACTCAACCGATGCAAAAGGCCCCTGATATCAGTTAGATTCTATGGAATGACTTTTCTCCCATTAGTTCAGTTTTATGAAGATTCAGGGACAGAAGGAAAAACTAAACATACAACAGCCTGAACGCAACCATGTCTCCCCAGCATTGGTCTTCTACGTTCTGCCTGATGCAGGAGAATCTATTCAAGGGTGGAAAAGTTTTCCTGCCCTCTCTGAGTACAACGGCCACAGGGGACAGACACCCAGAGAACAGAACAGGTCCAAACCCACCTAAAGAAGCAAGCAACAGATCTGCAATGGGGAGTGATGTCTTGGGGGTAATCTTTTGCCAAATTCAGTGTATACCCAATTTGAATTTAACCGTAGGGAGAGGCAATGGAAGGGAGTGGAACCAAGTGGCTGGGGAAGGCAGCCCCCCAGTGAAACCCCATGATCCACGGTCTTTCCTCTTGGCAGAGAAGGTTTATCCAGTGAGCCAGCTTTGCTCACATGATCTGTCTCCTAGGAATGCCACATCAGGAAAGGTTAATCTCCAACCTGCTTTCCGTTCACAGCTCAGTGATTAACAAATTAGCCTCTCTGTAAGTCACCAGAAGCTACAGAGTCAGGGATGAAGGAAGGGGTGAGACCAGCGTTTTCTTGGCAAAGCAAAATGAAACCCAAAAGAGCCATGCTCCATTTCATCTGCACAGGGGGAGGAAAAAAGGGAATTGAAGAGCATGTAGTCCATTCAGACTAATAGCTGGTCACCCCGGGGGGTCTGGCACAAGGAGGCAACTTAGCCAAAAGAGCTTCCAGCGTCTGGATCTCCAAAAAGTCACATCAGTCCACCACACATAAGCTGTAAGGAATCAAGGAAACATCCTACGAAGCCTTGCTCGTCTGCTCATCTTGCTGCAAGGGACACGGTTTGGCTTTGGGGACAACAAGGGCTGGCTCAGATTTTAACCCTTCCACTTTGTTGGTGGGGTTCTGTCTTGCACCTCGGCCACAGAGATGCTCAAGATCAGTGTTTTTCAACCTTGGCCCCTTGAAGATGTGTGGACTTCAACTCCCAGAATTCCCCAG